TCAGCCACTTGGTGTCTTTGATTTTTCCAATAGCCGACACGATCCCTGTTGCATCCACGCTAAAGTTGTACTCTGATAATTGGGGAGCCATCGTGGGGTCGGTATGTTTATCGAACCCGCTCTTACATGAGTCCCCGAGAACTTTGCCCTCGATCGTTTCTCCGATCGCTCCGGGGAATGTTACGGCTTGGGCCGTTGTTCCTTCGGTCGGTATATGGTTGATACCTTTCCCTGTTTGATCTCGAATCCTTGTTCGTGTCCCTCAGGGGCTTGGCCACGAACCTGTTAGGATGAACTGAACCCGAGGGGGCTCCTAATTGGTCGTCCTCAACCCTGATTTTTGACTGGTAACGGTTGTGCACATCTGACCACGTCACAGCTGGATACTCGATCAAGTTCTACTTTTGTTATCGAGAAGCAATTAAGCTTCACTAGTTCAAACCCTGCATGAAGGCCTGTACTGCCCAGTCGTCGAAAACCGGCGACAGTTCCATTCTTTCCATTTGAAACCTGGACACGAACTCCCTCAACATCTCGTCGTTCCTTTGTTTTATTTTGAAGACATCCGACTTTCTCGTGGACACCTTTATGGCCCCGGCGTGAGCTCTGACGAAGGCGTCTGCTAGCATAGCAAATGAATTAATAGAGTTAGGAGCTAGGTTGTGATACCAAATCATAGCTCATTCTGAGAGTGTTTCCCCAAACTTTTTCAACAATACTGACTCGATTTCATCATCATTCAGGTCGTTTCGTTTGATCCAACAAGTGTATGAAGTAATGTGTTCATTAGGGTCGGTTGTCCCGTTATATTTGAGTATATCGGGCATGCGAAATTTCTTAGGAATGGGCATCGAGGCTGTGCTCTGAGGGAACGGTTTTTGTATGAACTTCTTGGCATCTAGACCTTTCAAGACTGGAGGTGCCCCCGATATCTGGTCTACACGGGTGTTATAAGTCTCCACCTTCTTGTCGTTATCTTTAATTTTCTTTTCTCCGGACTCGATCCTCTTAGTGAGCTCTCTTCGAGCATTTTCATAATGGTGGGGTCAGTCCCCGAGCTGTCTCCATTTGGTTCTTCCGGCGTTGGTTCAGCACGTCGATTGTTTTCCTGTTCAGCTGCACTCGGGGTCTTATTCTGACTTTGAAGTTGAGCGATGGCGATTTGTTGAGCCTGCAACATCTGACCCCTACATTGTTGTTCTCACCAAGACCTTCGTTGTCATGAACGGGTGTGAGCTAGACATGTTTCAGCCTGAAAATCAAAGATTCTTGACAAGAAAAAGTGTAAAAATAGCATGTGTAATAAGAATCAGTAAAGAAATAATTACTATTATCTTTAGCCCCACGGTGGGCGCCAAACTGTTTGCCTCAAAAAATACGAGCTTAAATTTGATTTGTGGTTTTAAAAATACGTGATTTAATTCAATATCAATTAATAATCAAGAAATATGAAGTAAAAACGAAAGAGAAAGGTGAATCAAACCCGATGTTATTCAACAACAATGACCTCGAGCACAGGGACCTCGAGGTAGGCTTGGTATAATAAGAACAAGTATAAAAGCAAAATAAGAACAATAGAGCTAAAGGACAATGCCGATGAACAGTAGGCGAAAAGGTAGAGAGTATATTCTTTGCTCAGTAAAAAGATGGTCATACAAATGATTGGGGTTCCCTTTTTGTAATAGAGGACCCTTAAACAAGGAATATTTCTATTTACAGTAGGGAATATTCTTGTTACAGATGTCTAACCGCCTAGTACGGAATTGTACGATCTTACTCCGGATTTTGCGCCATGATCTCAAGGACGTGGCAGGAATCTAGCTCGCTCTGGTACAAATCTATAACGGTACTATTTCGTGGTCAGGCGCACTTGGCCTCGGTATTCTTCGAACTCCTGCCTCCGGGCATTACGCTCTGTCTTCGAGCTCGAGCCTGGTCCACCGGTTTCGAACTTGACCTCTCTCGGACTCGGGCCTAGGGCGGAACCTCGAGCTTCTACACCGGGGGCATATGACTTTGACCGTATACAAAAGAAAAAGAGGATAATGGAGATTCAACAAATACAAGTAGGGATGTACAAAGAAAATCGATAAACCGTACTAATCCGATAATCCAAGTCAAATCGGAAATAATCCGATTGTGGTTTGGTATTGAAAAAAAAACCAACCGTAATTGATTTGGTTTTAACTAAAACAATCAAACCGAAACTAAAACAACCTGATAGTATATTTATATATACAATTTCTAAAAATATTTTATATATATAAAAAAATTTGTGATATAATCAATAAATAATTCTTAAATTTTTCTCACAATTTTATCTTTTAATGTATTGTTTCAAGTTTGGACTTAACATTCTTGAGTGTCATATAAATTTTATAGCCCATAAATGTAGTAACTCAAACAAAGTTCAAATCAATACTAATGCTAACAAAAGAAATTCAATTCAACACTAGGAATGACAATAATGTTAGAAATCTATTTTTTAGTTTTACATTAGTTTATAATGAAAATACATAACTTAATTTATCTTTTTCTTTAGTGCTTAGTTATGTAATTAAGACTTATTAGCTATACTTATTTTAGCATGACTTATATAAATATTTTTAGATTATGTTAATTTTCATTATGCCTTATTAATTAGCAATATTTACTTTATGCAATTTATTATCATTGTTATTGAATCTTTTAGTATAATGCTATGACTTATCTCATAATATTGTGTTATTTTCTTGAAAAATATAATATATAGTTGTATCTTACTAGGACTAAAGAAATATTTGGAGCATAAGTTACATATTTTGTGCTATGAAGATTTTACAGGAAAAATATCCGAAAACTCGAGAAAAACCGAGATTGAAAAACCCGACTTTGTGAGTTTGGTTTTGATTTATAGATTAAAAAATCCGACACTATTAATTTGGTTTAGTAACAACCCTAGATACAAAGACAAGTTTGATAAAGTACTAAGCCTTGGTGTCTAGGAATAAAAGGTAGAATAAGTTTTATTCAAAACTAGGAGAACCTAAAAAATTATTTAAATCAACTTGGTGGAAGTTGTTTCCTGCTCAAAAATATTCTGTCATCCAATCCTCTCCTCTTCTTTATCTTTTAATTACTTCTATATAAAACTTTATCTCTCGCTTTTAAAGATCTTTTTGGTCCTCTGATTTAATTTTCAGCGGAATATATTCTTTGTACATAAAGTTGAAGGGTATGTTATTCATCAGCTACTTATAATATCATCGGGGTAAAACTGAATTTGGCCAGAAGGGAATAGAAAGAGAGAAAGTGAAAAAAATTATGTCAAACCTTCTTTCGCACAACTCTTGGGCTTCTTGAGTAGAGAATAATTTACCTAAATGTTTATATTAAATCATACTGATTAATTTTTTTAAATAATAATTGATGTAAAAATACATATGAATTTTAATTTGTAATTTTTTATATAAAAATTACATATTTTATTAATACTATGTAAATATTTTGTGCGAATATTTTTTTTTCAATTGAATATCAATTCACTAAAAAATGTTCCCTTTTGCCTCTCTCTTCCTTTGTGTTCTCTCAAAGCATAGTTAAGATCAAGAAATTGCGGAAAGTAAAACTGGTGTTTAGCATTTGTAGGCTATTAATAAATGCTTTTAATGTCTTGTGCTCACAAATGGATCCAAAAATCTTAGTGAGTAGTGTCCTTGTCACAATATAGTACCCCACTAAACTAGAAATTTCCTATCTATACTTTCTTGGCCGCTTTCTCCATAAGCTACAGCTACTCTACTCTTTTGGGCTTCTATTCCCCTTTCTTTTTTTCTCTTGCCTAGGTTTTTCAATTTCCACCTGCACCAGACTAGTTAATTCTTATTGCTGTTAATGGCGGATTGGGGACCAGTGCTGATCGGAGTTGTACTCTTCATATTGCTGCAACCTGGGCTTCTGTTTCAGATACCTGGTAATAATCGTACTCTGGAATTTGGGAGCATGAAGACTAATGGAAAAGCTATTGCTGTTCATACTCTTATTTTCTTTACGCTTTATGCTATTCTCATTCTGGCTGTTCATGTTCACATCTATACTGGCTGATCTTATATAGTCCAGATCTTCTCGAAATCCCCTTTTATGCTATCATTTTCACTAATCGATGAGGGTTTTATTTGTAAGTTGTTAGCACTTTTCTTACTGAATTTAAGATCTGTTTCTTTGTACTTTTGGTTTTGTCAAGACGAAATATGAAGAAAGATTCAGTCTTTGAAATGAGCTGTTTTAATTATATATGCCCAATTTATTTGCGTGCTGTTTCTCTTGGTTGCTCAAATGCTTATTGGACTGCATCTTTTTTTGTTTGTTTTTGGGTCTGAGTTGCTTTCCTGAGCCGATGGTCTATGAAAAATAGTCTCTAAATAGTTTATCTATCCTCACAAGGTAGGGTAAGGTGTGCAAACACACTATCCGTCCCAGACCCTACAGTGTGAGACATTACTGGTTATGTTGTTGTTGTTGTTGGGTTTGAGTTGAGATTGTCTTCTAACTCTTCCTTCCTCTCAAAATCTATAGAAAACTAATTAAGGTGGTGTGATTGTGACAGCAAGCTGCAATAGAGCTGGAATATAGTCGATTCTAGAATTAATAATTAATAAGTATACACGCGAAAAAAATAAGTGGAGTCGATATACAGTATATATACATATACACATACTTTTAACCTAGCTAAACGGTATAATTGACACCGGTTAGCATAAGGTACCTCCCACTGCTAGGGACTGTTTCCTAGGATTATTTGTGCAAGCGGCAATTTTGTTCAAATTATAGTTTTTAATCTCAGTTTGGTGCTTAATTTTAATGTTTGAGATCTGAAAGGTCCAAGCCATCGCTTGCACCTTGAGAAAGGATTGATTCTGTCTTTCTTCCATTTAGCTCAATTTAATAATTAAAGCAGATATGCGGGATGTTGCATTTGTCTAACATATATATACCATGTTCCCTGTAAAACCCCCCGCAAAAAAGAAAAAAAAGAGAGTTGATATTAAGAACCGTCATGTACAGAGAATAAGATAAAAGTGGTCCAAAAACTTCATTTGCATGAATTTGATAAACATTGATGTTGAGGGCAACACTTTGTCAGAGTATTTCAGAATATCACACTAGTTCAAAAGAAAACAAACACAGAAAAAAGGTTGATAAAACAAGAATCCCCCTTCAGCAAAAGCCATCAAAGAAGAGTTGAGAATTTGGCTGGAGCAGCAGGGTCGAAGAGAACTTATAAAACTGACTTTGTTGCCAGTATCAACCGGATCGTATGTGAACACCAATGGCAACTATCAAGATTGTATATATACAGAAGAATAAGATGGCATGAACTAGGATGGAAATCCCACTGGTGTACATGTTCCCGAACTCAATCACCCGAGTCCTCGCCGGTAACTGGAATAGCAATCCTGGTGAGAGTAAGATGAACATCGCCACTGCAACCACCACTGGCCCCCAATCAGCTACCATCTTTATTTCACTATCCTGTCTTTCTTTATCTAAAGGAAATTACTAGGTACTCGAAAATTTGAGCTTTAAGCGATCTATCTGTTTCTTGCTGTTGTATATAGTTGTGGTGTTTGCAAATTTGTAGCAGCAGATATATGGCAAATGTAGTGTTTTGCTTAGTGAAGAAGGAGAAGGGGATATACTAAACGTGAGGGTTAAAAGCAGGCAGTGTGTTTTAAAGGGGAAGAAAGGTATGATTTGTGGTAGTGGAGGGATTTTTGCTTTATGGAAGTCGACAGAATATACCAACTTTATGTTTAAGTTTCCGATTATTCAAGAACGCGCAAGTCTTTCTTTTGCATTTTGCTTTACACATTTTATTACATAAATTCATCAAGGTGGTGTCTTTATAAAAGATTTTGAAAAAGAAGGCGGTGGACGTGGAAAGTAGAGAAAGCCAACAATTTGTTGCGTTTACAATGCACAATTCTTTGGCTGATTTCTTCAACATGTAACCCTTGGGAAATGATTTGATGGCTTTGGCAATGTTTTAAGTTATTATTAAAGTGCGGGCCTTTCTAATTTCTTCAATTTATTGTTGGTCCGTAACAGATGAAAAGAGCTGGGGGTGCCCACTGTGGATTTGCTTTTGTTTAAACTTCAATTTATTGTTGGTTTATTTTTTCTAGCTTTGTGACGTAATTGGAAAGAATTAAATACATAGCCGCTTTTAGAATGATCAGATTTAGCTAACATACACTGTAAAACAAATGTTACACTATGAATGTATCTTAATCCGTTGTAGCATGTAATTTACCCTAATCTTTTAGGTTGCTGATTTCACCTATTTATGGATGACTACCTGTAGAAGTTAAACTTGAAAGGAATTAGGTGGAAATCAGCAGTCAGATGACACATTATTTTGGTTAAAATAGCACGGTCTAGCCAGTTTTCAGACCGGTCATTCAAAAATAGCCAACGTTTACCAAGTCAATGAAAAATAGCCACTATTTTGCTCCAACAGAGATCGGTCCAGCATAATATACTGGAGTTCGGTGCACCTGTGTATGAACTTCCAGCATTTATGCTGGAACTCCAACACACGGAAAGTTCCAGCATAATATACTGGAGATTCGAGCACTTGTTTATGAACTTCCAGCATATTATACTGGACCATTATACTTTGCTGGAACTCCAGTATATTATGCTGGAGTTCTAGTGTACTTATGCTGGAACTCCATCATATTATGCTGGAGTTCTAGCATACTTATCCTGGAACTCCAGTATAATATGCTGGAGTTCAAGTATACTTATGCTGGAATATACTGGAGTTCTAGTGTACTTATGCTGGAACTCCATCATATTATGCTGGAGTTCTAGCATACTTATCCTGGAACTCCAGTATAATATGCTGGAGTTCAAGTATACTTATGCTGGAACTCCAGCATAATATACTGGCGTATTTTTCGGGTTTTGAACAGTGTTTTTGCTCAGATTTATCTTTACATGGAAATGGCTAAATTTCGATTACTTTTAAAACTGGGCTATTTTTGAACTATCACTTGTAAATCTGGCTATTTTTGAATTTCTCCCATTATTTTGACATATTGGGTTGACGAAATGGGGTTTCGTCATGAATGGGCTCTTATCTTTTACTATCTTTTTCTTCTTTTCCTCGAGCAGCCAGCAGGTAGGCCCATCTATGTTGGGTTGGACTGCTGTCTTGATATAAGACTATCTAAACCAGTAAAATTTATAGTTTTTGCACATGCTTACAATGGCCCAAGCCCACAAAAGAGTGTGCCGTCTAGGAGAAGAAATATGAAGATTCTCAATTGTTGCGTGGTCGGCAAATGATAATCATGTTAATTGCTATTCGCTATCAACTGATAATACGTGTCATTAAACAAAACGCTTTATTTGTCTCAGAATGCGGTAATTTCTGTGTTGGCAGAGTATGCATTGTCTTGTTTCACTTGTCCTTAATTTGCTGAAAAAGAAATTAAGCCACGGCTCTACTTATCTCAAAAATAATAAAGGTGGAAATTCCATGTCTATAACTCTGGTTAATTTACTCTTCCCAAATTCTCTAAAGATCATTGGTACTTGTTTCCTTTTAATTCTTTTCCTTTATCACTTATAGACACATCACTTATATCAGACTAACAGAGATGGCTGATTGGGGACCAGTGGTAATAGCAGTGGTGCTATTTGTGCTGTTGAGCCCTGGGCTTCTCTTTCAACTACCAGGAAACAGCAGGGCGGTAGAGTTTGCCAATTTCCAGACAAGTGGACTCTCCATTTTCATACATACTCTTCTCTTCTTTGGCTTCATTACCATCTTCCTTATTGCCATCGGTGTCCACATTTACACCGGCTAGAAACATCCTCAAATGACAATTACTTTATCTTATTATTATAAGTTCTTTCAAGCTACACTATGTATTCATTTGGTATGGGTCAAGGTGTACTTTGATACTCATTAATACTATGATACTTATTTTGTGTTGAATTTTGGGTGCTTATTACGTAGTACATACATTCACATCTTAAATTGTTTGACTACTTTTACTATGACATGCTCGTTGAAGGTATTAGCAATATCAATATGAAGACCAATGACAATTTTTGATAGCGAACCCCATATTATGTCAGATTCTCCAAATGTTGCATTAACCAAAGTACTTCATGCATTGAGCTCTACTTTTTTTTGGTAGCTTAGGTCAAATCATGGTCTAAGAAGGCTTAAGAATTATTATAGCCCAAAATATATGCATCTTTACGTTAATTGTCTAATACATAAACTGATTGAATCCACATATTTGGAATAATTTTTTTTAGTTTATTTATCCAATTGCACAACTAATTGGGGTTTATATTTATGATCAGGTGTTTAAACTCAAATATAATATTGCTGCTAATTAATACAGAGCAAAAACGGTACCTAGCTATAATATAATAGAAACTTTTTTATTACTTTTCTTTAGGTTCATTAAAAATTACTTTCTCTGTCTATATTTACTACTTTTATACAAAACCTTAATAAAGAGAGTATTCCTTAAATTAGGATGTATACTGATGTGGTGTATTCTGAAATCGATTTTCAATCTGAAAATAAAAGTTATGATTATTGGTGATTTTGTGCTAACTTTTATAGAGCTTACCGCTGGTTTAGATGGAATTTCATATTGAAACTTGAAGAAGAAGAAGAAGAAAGAAGTTCAAAATGTTTCACAATTATTTCCGAATTGTATCATAAATATATGGTAATTGTATATAAATTGTATATAATACATCAATATGTAAAACAACCTGATACAATTGTAATACAAGTATAATACAATATTGTATTAGAATTGTATAAGAAATTTACAAGGATTATTCCAGAACTGTATTAAAATTGCCTCAAAAATTTATTTGAATTGTTGTTGATACATCACTACATGAAAACATTACATGATGTAATTGCTAAATATTAGGTTTGTTCATTTGTGGAATATATGTTAAGCATATATATAGAGACTTATCGAGTAGAGTGAAGATTATTGCGCCTACTCGATGAGATGATGAAAAGAAGGGGAAAAAAAAGGAGAAGGATAAAAGCTTGGCAAATGCGACCTGCCACTCAATCCTCAAATAGCAATCAAATTTCACTTAAATCTGTGTAGAAGAAGAGGGAGAGAAAAAAAAGGAAAGGATATAATTGAATTTCTTAATTAAAAGCATTAATAATGGTATAAGAGCCTTTTAAGGTGGAATATATCCAATTTGTAAAAAAAATCTAGATAATTTTTAAAAACTACAAAACCTAGAGAAAATGAGTAAATAAGTTTCTATTATTTATATATATATATATATATATATATATATATATATATAATATATACTTACGCTGTACTATGCACTAAGTATAAGCGTATTAGGTAATATTATATCGAATATGGCTTATATATATGTAATATATATACTTACGCTGTACTATGCACTAAGTATAAGCGTATTAGGTAATATTATATCGAATATGGCTTATATATATATATATATATATATATATATATATATATATATATATATATATATATATATATATATATATATATATATATATATACACACACACACACACACTACATTTAGTATATACACTTAGTTTAAAATGAATTAAAATCCTAAATTTATTTTTAAATTAAACTTAAAATAATTTATTTTTGCTTTATATATGGCGACCAACTTTGGTCGCCATTTTGGTCAAACGGTCAAAAAATGGCGACCAAGTTTGGTCGCTNCATTAACTATGCTGCAATATTTAATTAAGAGTAGTTTAGTTATACTAATTATTTTTATTTAGAATTTTATATTTTCTTAATGGCTGTATCCAAGGCATATTGATAACTTATTATTGGAGTAGTGCCTTATTAGTGCCTATTTATAGCCGGAGGAAACAAACAAGTGGATGCTCATGAATTATTAGGAAACTATTGATGCCTTTGTCAGAGGTAGAATATTTCTTGGATATCTAGTGGACCGAGAATGCAACAAAAAGATTATCCACTTACTGCATGACTAATATGCTGGAAAATTATTCCAGTTTCCGAGTCATTATCACCAGATATTTGGATGAGTAAGATGAAGATTATTCCTACATGCGGTTTCTTGAACGCAACGTATTTTTCTTGATCGAAAGAGACAACTAGAGAGAGGTTCTTTTTGAATCTTCATTAGTCCAGTACTCCATCGGTTTCAATTTATGTGAACCTATTTGATTGGGTACGAAGTTTAAGAAAAAATGAAGATTTGTGGTCCTACACAAGACAAAAGGGGTTCAGTCGAAGGAATCAATTAAGGCTAGACTGAAGGAATCAAATCAATCCAGAGTATCGAAGGTCTTGCAAGATAATCAATCAAGTATACTAAATGTGGAAGGATCAAGATTCAAGGAAGGATATCCGGCGACATCAAGTCACGTATAAGGGAAGTCATTAAAGCCTCTCGTCAAGACAAAGCCGTTGCTGAATAACCTTATTCTTGGAAAGAATCAATTTCTTTTCAAGGATCAAATCTCTTGGGTTGGCAAATCTCTTCAGAAATCAAGTCTCTCTCAAAGTATTTAAACTTGTATTTGTACCATAGCACATATACTTTGATCGAACCAAATACCCTCTCTTTGTTCTACTACAAACAAACATTGTAGCTCTACTAGATCTGCTGTGTAATAAGTTAGAGAGGAAAGAGAGAACAACACTGGTGAGGCATTATATCAAAGAGAAACGAGTGATTTAGGAACTGAGCTATCGGTGTAGATCACACCATTTACTATGCACTCGAGAAACTCATTCGCTGAAAGATAACTCCCTTGCAACCCAAGGGGACTGGACTAGGATTCACATTGAACCCGAACCAGTATAAAACTTTCGGAGTCTTTAATTCCTGCATTTAATTTCTGCATCTTAAATTCTATCCTTACTGTTATCAAGTTATTATATCTAGTCGACTAATTAGAAAACTAGTCAACCGGTAGCGATTAATTTTAAAAAATAAACAATTCACCCCCTCTTGTACTTTCAATTGGTACCAGAGCTAGGCTCATATTTTTCTTTTGCTTAATGATCGGTTCCAAGCCTGTACCACTATCAAGTGGCAAGGATGGTCGATGCAGATTTACCCAACAAAGGTCGGGATCGATATCCGCAGGGAGTTAATTGATTTGGAGTTAGGTATCTAACTAATCTACATGTGCGTGTTGTTCCAAATTGCACCTCCAAACATGGTCATGATTGATTTTTACTTCTAACGCTATACTATAATATGCTAGAATAAGCTAAGTACACTATTTTGTTGGTTGTTTTCAAGGATTAAGAGGGACTAGGGCAGTGACTTCCGCCTAGGTGGGTATCTAACGGGTATCGAGAATTCAGGGCAAGCTTGTTATGATTGGGGTCGTGATATAATCATCACACATAAGTACTCACTCTATACCTCTCGGTAGTTTGAGTGACTTTGCCCGATTTGACTTTCTCAAGTCCAAATGGGTGTTCATGCATAACAAATGATATTGGATCAAGTCGGGTATTACTATCTCTAGATTTAACCCTTTAATTGGGGCTATCAATCTCTTGAATGCACCCCAATTCCTTGTTAGCCTAATTTTCCTAGACTTAGTCTCTCTTTCTCAAGAAGGGTCTAAGTCATCAAGGCACAAATCAGTGTTTGCAACCACCAATTCTACAATTAAAGCATGAATTAAGCAAAATATCACTAACCTATAAACAATTAAGCCCTGAAAATCATGACCCATTAAATACCCACACTAGGGTTGGGTCACAACCCTAGCTATGGGGTTTAGCTATTCATAATAACAGTAGAAATCAAAGATGGAGATGAAATATAAGCCATAATATTCAAATACAAGATGAAAATCTAAAGGTTAAAGACAAATCTACTCTAAGATTACTCAAAAAGGTAAAAACCATCCGTTCACGTGCTTAGCAAAATATATCGTACCCTAAAAATGTGAAAAATCTATTTATACTAGGCTAAAATTCCTGGACAAAAATGCCCCTGCGGAAGCTTCGCGGAGGCCTAATTCCGAATGCGTCCGCAATTGAGCTCTCGTGGCCACGCAATAACGAGCGCGGTCCGCGTTTCTTCAATTCTGGGCTTGGATTGGACTTGGTTTCACCGTCAGCGTAATATCATTCGCGTCCGTGTGTGCTTCCATCGCGGCCGCGTAATTTAGACGCGGACCTCGTTCTTCTATCAAGCATGACTTGCAGGGTCTCTGAACTTCAATCAACGCTTTCAGCGAAAATACCACCGCGGCCGCGCTTTTCAATCACGGTCAGCGGTCACTGTTGTACCCAAAATAGCCTCTCTAAATCTCACTTCCGTGGACCGCGTATTTGTGGCCGCTTCAGCGGTGGACCTTTCACGGCCGTTAATTTCCATCGCGGTCAGCGCTCCAGTCCCAACTTTGAACTTGTGCAAATTTAACTCCTTCATGAGTTGATTATGGCTTTTTTGCCTCATTTTGACCAAACCCTGCAAGTAAGCACAGTAAATTAGTTTTCGGGAATACTTTACACATTTTTGATCCAAAACCTAAGCAAAATAGAGCATAAGATAGGTTAAAATCCATAGTTATCAACTCCCCCAAACTTAAGCTTTTGCTTGTCCTCCAGCAAACAAAGTAATTCCCACCTCCACAAGACAAAGAAAGGAAAACTTCGGCTATTCTAAGGTGACTTCATCAAGAGTCTTAATTGTTCATCAAGAAAAGGTGATCGGTTCCAAGCCTGTACCACTATCAAGTGGCAAGGATGATCGATGCAGATTTACCCAACAAAGGTCGGGATCAATATCCACAGGGAGTTAATTGATTTGGAGTTAGGTATCTAACTAATCTAGATGTGCGTGTTGTTCCAAATTGCACCTCCAAACATGGTCATGATTGATTTTTACTTCTAATGCTATACTATAATATGCTAGAATAAGGTAAGTACACTATTTTTGTTG